TTAAACCTCGGTTAGGGTTTTCTTAGGGGTTTTGTAGGGTTTAGGGTTCCTAAAAACCCCCTACTTCCCCGTCCTCTTCGGGCACCCTGGACCCGAACCAGCCCTTCCCCTTTGACGGCGCCCGTGCTAGCCTTGCTAGCGTCGTTAGCCGCTTTCTACCGCGGACTTCCCCCTACGCCCTCCGCTCACGMGGACCTCTTCTGGCCCCCTCCAGTCCCGTCCGTCATCTCCCCATGGCCGACGGTGCGTCACACGCCGTCGACACGGCGATGACCACGGCATCGGGCTCCACACCCGTGCCGGCGGACCAGGGCCATCAGCCCCAGGTGGATCTACACACCCTCCTCACCTCCCTCCTCGCGCCCATCCAGGCGCAACTCCGGTCGAGTACCGCTCCGAGCTATGGCGGTACGAGTTCACATCGGCCCCACAGGCTTACGAGGCCGCCAGGGACCACCAGCGGATGCGAGCTTGTCTTCACCCCGCCTCCCTCTCCCAGCCCCAGCGCACGGGCTACGCCTCCTCCTCCTCTCACGGCACTTCCCAACGCCGTTCCCCTTTCCGCGGTCGCCCCCGCCGTTCCACGCAGCAGGGCCTCCACTTCTCGCACCGTTTCAGCGCGCTGGAGTATGGTGAGCAGGACGCTGTTGCCCCACTCTCATCTGAGGGCGACCACAGCGACGACGTCGATCTCTTCGAAGCCATCCACTATCACTTGGAGGACTCTACCCTCCCTGCAGCTGAGCGCCTTCAGCTCGCGCTCTCTGCCCTCTCTCGGGCATGCAGCCGCCCTGGTCACGCTGGGGCATCGCCCCCCGAGGTCCCTCAGGAGGACCTCCCTCAGGGCTTCGTCCCTCCTCGTGGTATCCTTTCCCCTGAGGAGCGCGCGGCTATTCTGGGACGACATGGGTGTTTGCGCTGCCGCTTGGACGGTCATACCTCCTCGCGGTGCCCTTACACTACCGCCCTCGACCGCCACTACGCTGACCTTTCTCGTCAGCGTCGTGCTTAGTGCCCCCCCGGCGCCTCACGTCCCCGCGGCGCCTCCTAGCCACGATGCAGTGTACACCTGCGCCCTCCTCAGTAGTGGGCTTCCCGACATCTCCGTCGCGGTTCGCCCCTCTCGCTACTGGAGTTGAGGTATCGCAGGACTCGACAAAGAGTACTCCGCCCTTTGTCGCAGTACCGTCTGCGCCTCCGCAGACCACCGTCTCCCCTCCTTCCCCGCCGCGACCATCGACGCGTCGAGCCATTCGCTCAGCCCGTTGCAGCGACCAGCTTGCTACTCGCAAGGACGTTGTGTCCTCTCTTCTGGACTTGAGCATGCTCCAGGCTCGTCAGGAGCGACTCTCCCTCCATGTCGCTGCACTGCGTCGCCTTCTCGCCATCCTCTCTGACCCTGATTGCACCCTCCCGATCATCCTCGTATGACTCGGGACCTCCACGAGGATGTACTCAACGTTGTGGGATTCCGGTTCTCAGGGCGACTTCATTCACCCACGCGTGGTGAAGGAAGCCCGCTTACCCACAACAGGATCTCTGACTCCCATCTCCATTACCCTAGGGGATGACAAGACCCAGCGCTTCTTCGATCAGACGGTCACCAACCTCCCCTTCTTCCTCAGTCTCGAGCCGACTGAGCGTTCCCCGGCGTTTCGTCGCCACCGCTCCTTTGCACATTTCGATGTGATGGAGACGGGGTACGACTTCATTCTCGGCACTCTGTGGTCTCGTCGGTTCCGCAGCACCGAGGCCGATTGGGCGACCAACACTCTCGTTCTCAAAACGAAGTGTGGACAGACGTATCGCGTACCTTTCATAGGTACCACGGCGACACCACACCCCGATTCTCCTCCCCTGGAGCCTTCCGTGCCCACACCA